GCTCTTATTATTATTATTATTATTATTATTATTATTATTATTATTATTATTATTATTATTATTATTATTATTATTATTATTATTCACTTTATATTTCCCTCGCCTATTTTTGTGTTCGAGGCCTGCCACGTACTCCCCTTGCTCTGGAGGCGCGCACGCACGAACAAACACGATGTTGAGAAAGATTCACGCAATCAAAAAAAAAAATTTTTTTTTAAAGGGTTAGGAAAATGAAAATGTTTGAGTGTATGTGTCTCTTGTCTCATTTTTCTTTTATTATCTCTTTTTTCTTATGGTTTTTTTTTTTTCTTCCTTCTTTTCTGGATTTCCCCCGTTACCCTTTTTCTCTATAGAGAGGGAAAGCACACATATTGTATATATATATATATATACGTATATATATATACACATTTAGTTCTACTGTGTCATGTGTGTAGCAAGGTGGGCGATGGTATTCGTCAGACACCGACGTCTGTGCCGCATGAGCCGCAGCACCAGCACCATCTGCGGTTGCTGTCGCTATTTTAGTATCGGAGGGACGTCGGTCCTTCGCGGCAGCAGTGGTATTAGTAATAGTATTAATAGTAGTAGCAGTAGCAGTAGTATTATCATGAGTGGTAATAGTCATCCCACGACTAATCTTATTAGTATTCGTACTATATCCACTGGGATGAACCGCAGGGAAAGTCGTTGTTCGGCTGTCAATTTCGTTCTCTCGCCTCTGCGTGCGGGGTGGCGGCGATTCCGTGCGCAGCGTTTCTTGCGTAAGTGTGCGACTCTCACGCTTGGTGTGTTGTTGAGTTGTTGTGGGTATCTTGTGCTTTGTGCGGTGCTGCAGTGGCGGTGGGAGGCGGGCGTGGCCTCTCTGTTCGTCCCGCACGAGGAGTTCCCGCTGGAGGAGTGGGCGCAGGTGGAGCCGACGCTGCGGGAGGGCGACGTGGTGTTGATGATGGGCACCGGCAGCACCAGCCGCCGCATCACGTGGGCGCAGTTTGCGTACAGTCTCCTGCGGCCCGCGGCCCTCCGCTACTCGCACGTCGGCGTCGTGGTGGAGCCCGCGCAGTTCGAGCGCTGGCCGCTTTACCGCCCATCATCCTCAACCTCATCCACAAGTACAGGCACATCTCTGACAACAACAACAACAACAGCGGGAGGGCGCGATGGACTGGAGTACAGTGGTCGACTGTCGACGAGCACGATTGCGGATATGCTGCGGGATGAGCGGCTGCGACTGCAGCGAAAACAGAAACGCGGCGTTGTCATGATGGAAGTCGTCGACAACCTCGACGTGAACGCACCGGATGTGAACGGCAAAGTGCGGCATGAGTGTGTGCAGTTGGTGGAGGCAAGTCATCGGCTGTTTGGACGCGAAGGGGAGCGGTGGTGTTACAACCGCTTTGCGGTGCGGCGGCTGAAGGGATTTGAGTGGACCCCGCAGCGAAAAGGATTACTGCGGCAGTACGTGAATGAGAACGTTGGCCGCCCACTAGATAAGAGTCCACTGTTGGTGCTTAGTTTCATTCATCCAAAGTTGTATGAGTGGACAGGCGCACGGCGTACTGGGCGGGAGATTAGCTGCGCAGAAATGATCGTGGATCTGTACAAGCACTGCGGTGTCATTCAAAAGCGAATGCGACTAGTTCCCGTAGCGAGTAACAACGATAACCATAACGACAATAATAATAATAATAATAATAATAATACTAATAATAATAGTAACAACAGTAGCCCCCATACGGAGAGTGCAGATGTTATTGTGAATCACGATGGCAGTAGCGATTATCCCGAATGGTACTACAGCCGGCCAAGTATACAAACAGCACCGTGTCACTTTGCAGAGGGACTGGAAGTTGGTGTGCTGGACTTTGCAGAGGGCATTTCACTTGGGCCGGAGGTGCGTATGAGTCTTCCCGGTGGACTCCCGGAGACAGCAGAGTAAGTGCAAACACAAGCGGATAAAAAAAGAAAAAAAGAGAGGGGATCATAGAAGCCAAACAAAAAAAAAAGGAAAAATGTGTGGAAAACTACACATACACACACATACAAGAAGATCTATAGAGCTGGAGAAATAAAGTGAGAAAGCATGATGAGGATAATAAATAAATAAATAAATAGATAAAAGAAAAAAAAAAGTGGTGATAGTGATAGCAACAACAGCAATAATATAATGATGTGGTGGTGTTTGCTTCATGCATTATTCTTTTTCCATTATTAACCAGCACTAGTGTACATACATACACGCAAAGTTACATGAACCCCGAAATTCCCACTTCCAATGGTATATAAAAAAAAAAAAAAAACGCACAAATAGAACCATTTTTTGTTCTTTCTTTTTTCACATTGTTGCTGTTTGTTGAATATGTTGAAACACAGCCTCTTTTTCTTCATTTTGATGGTGTTGTTGATCTTTTATTTGATAATACTTCACCCACCTTGACAGCAACGAGAAGCACCACAGTAGTTTCCCTTTTTTTCCTTTTATGAAAGGTGACGAATGAAGGTGTTAGGATCACCTTCTCATTTTATGATGGGATTCTACTCGTTAAACTATATTTATCTATATATAATATGGTTATATATATATATATATATATATGTTATGTTTATGTAAAAGGATGAAAGATAAATGAGCTCATTGCAATTACGTGCAAGAAGTATAATAAGACATAAAGGTTTAGAGAAAAAAAAAAACGGACAAAGAAAGCACATAAACCATCAAGTAGAAGAGAATGAGAAATAGCAATGAATAGCTCACTTAGGCTTATATATATACACACACACAATTACATACATACACCCACAAACAAATTAAAAGAAAAATAAGGTGAACGAGGGGGATAATGGAAAGAAAAGAAAATGCAATGTCTTCTTTTGAGGGCGCGTGATTATTTTAGTGCATCTGAAGAGAATGGGGGAAGGGTGGAATGAGAGTATATATCCATATCTTTTTTTTTTTTATCGAACTATGAAAAGAAAAAAAAAAAAGAGAATCACCAAATCATATTTTTAAGTCCGCAGACACTATGTGTGTATGTGTGACTGTGTATTTATTTTTCATTGCTGGGCAGTTGGGAAGGGCCTATTGTGAGCCGGAGGCGTGTAGACATAGCCTTCCTTTCTTTTCTTTTTTTTTCCTTTTTTCGGATTCTTCTTTGAGAGCGTGTGTGTCCGCGTGCTTCTCTTTTCCCATGCGGGAATGGAAAAAGGGGGGCAATACCAGTGTGAGAGACAAACGAATAGATAAAGGGAAAGAAAGAAAGATAAATGCGTACACGTAACTAACTCCCATCTTCATATCAAATGTCTGTTTTCTCATTCTCTCTGTTTATACATCATCTGAGGATTATTATGTTATTTCTTGTTATGTCCTTATTATTATCTTGTGTTTATTTGGATACAGAAGTACAGGTTTCCTTCCCAACATCTTTTTTTTTTTCTTTTATTCTTTTTTTTCCAGTATATTCTAAGAGAAACACACGAATAAAAAAAAAGCATCAGAGAATTAGTTAATAGAAGAGAAAGTAAAGTTCCCGGTAACCTTGCAAAATAAAAAAAAAAGAAAAATAAAAGAAAAAATAGGAAAGAAAGAAACCAGGTAATGTCTGCTGTATCCTCCACAACCGGACAGGCATTCAGCCTCAAGACCCGTCAACCCATTGACGAGGACGCACTCCTCACGGAGGAGGACCGTCTGGAAAAGGAAGCCACAAAGGGAGAAGACTGCACGACTCGCCGACGGGCCTGCAAGAACTGCACCTGCGGCCGGGCCCAGTTAGAACAACAACAACAACAACTGGGCGAAGGGGCGCCTGTGCAGATGCCACCAGGCGGTTGCGGCAACTGTGCAAAGGGAGACGCCTTCCGCTGCGCTACTTGCCCGTTTCTCGGAAAGCCGGCCTTTGACAACACAAGCGACGGTAAAGTGAAGCTGAACCTCACAGATGATATTTGAGAAAATGCACAAGAGAAGGTATGGGGCGGGATGCAAATTAATGAGAAAGAGAAAAGAAAAAAAAAAGGAAAAGAAAGGGGGAAAAGGTGCTTTAAAGAGAAAAAAAAAGTTCGTATAAACCCCAAGCCAAGCCAAACACCATGACTCTGGGAGATTAGGTGACACAAAGTTGTACAAAACAAAAGAAAAAGAAGAAAGGGAAATGAATGCGTGTGTGTGTGTGTGTGGGTGGTCGACTTTGAGATGTTCCATTATTATTCTTGTTTGCAGCTTACTGCGAATGGATAAGTTTTTTTTTCTTTCTTTTACTGTATTTCTCTCGCTGAGCAAAAAGCAATGCCACACCCTTTGGTCTATCCCATAACAGTTATTCCTTAGGGAATGCACGCATATTTATATTTATATATTTATAGTTGAATGGTGGAAATCCTGTTTGAATTTTTCTCTTTTTTTTTTTTCTTTTACCCTTTTTTTTTTTTTTTTTTT